ATAAACACTTCTCGATCAAGCAGCAGACGATTTTGTTTTAAATCTTGTAACGCGGGCAGAGATGGAAGCTCTCTCCCTGAATCTACACCATAATCTCTCCAACACGGCATTCCCTTTATTAAACAGTCCCGGTGAAAATACTGTAAAGGAAATAACATTCCTCACAAGGGTAAACTGCAGCTGCCGATGGGTAAGCATAGCGATTTGAGGGACGTTCCTCCTTCTTAAAGGACAATTGAGAAAGGTCCACAAGGAAACTGAACTCATCAGCTTGTATGCAGGACTGTTTTAATCCACACTGAGCCTGTCCTGACTGCAGGTTGTGTTGTAGTGATAACTGTAACCCAGGATTTATTGCAGTGCGAACTATTTTGATTACTGCTTTGTGGTGAGATTATCTGCTTATCACAATACAGAAATAACACAGATCACTCACAGACTACACACAATATTGACTACACAAAATTAAGTCCTGTCATCAGGTGCTGAAATGTTAATGCTAACAATTTTTTTTTTAAAAATAAACACTCCTTATAATCCTTACCCCTGCCTGTCTAGTTCCTATTGCCTACAAAAACAATGCTTTCATTATCTTCACTTGACAGTGACAAATATTCTGTTAACATTTTTACCACCTTTGTTACCCTTTTGCTCCTGTTGAATTACGGCTGCTTTGCGCTGGTAAAATACTAGATGTCCCCTTGATCACTCAGGCAATCAATCAATCCTCACATAGTACATCACAAACTTGAAAAGATTAAAAACCACCCCAATTTATCTTAAGTGAAAGCATAATAAATGTTATATTAAAGAGATGAAAAGATATCAGAAGCATAAAAGAGAAGCTAAAGCACTGGAATGCAGTAGCTTAATACAGATCGCTTAATCTGTAAATCTTTTTGTTGCTAATTAATTTGTTGAAAAAATATCAATACACAAATAAGTACAAAAACTCCATGCTGCTTGCTTATATTTGACAACTACTTATAAAGACAAATGATGAAAAGCTGCCTTTAACATTGTGGAGTATTATAGTCTTAAATAATAATAAACTTCATTTTAAAAGGTGGCTCCTTAAAGCATTTTACAGAACATTACAAAATGCTTTATAGTATTTTAATTTCTGATCACAACACTTGCCATAAAAAATGACAGGGTCAGAAAAAGGAGCCAGTCTAATGAAGACCAAGGGCCATAAGAAATAAGGAAAGGGCATAGTTAGTGAAATAGGTCAGTAATTAAAAAACATTTTTGATAAACGGGGCAAATTTGGAAAAAATGCTTTCACATTTTTCATGTACAACTAAAACCTCGGGAGGTAAAATGAAATGATGCTGAATAAGCCTGAACTGGGCATTACTTTGAACTGAACTTTATATTACTTTTTTTGGCATAGGTCTTAAAAGATCTGTTCTCTGTAGATCTGTTTGTTAACTTGTCTCTATTGACTTATACAACATATTTATTTGGCTGATCTCTGTTTCTAACATGGCTCTGTTTGCACATGGGAAATGTTTTAGTCAGTCCCTTCTTTGTGTTCAATTACCTGACACTTAACTACACTTTTAAGTATAGTGCCTGTAGAGTAGCAATAAATCAATAGAAAATGCTGACGAAACATTTAAACTGCTTCTTTAATATTTATTTGTCTGTATATACAGTATTAAACACACACTAGGTATTTTAAGAATCACCTAAGAATTTGTTACAGTCAAATCAAATGTGTAGGTTTAGTCTCTGTGTCCATAATAAACATTACCCTTGACACCATAGATTCAAATCTACATAAACTATCTGAAGGTGTGTGCAATAAAAACATTAAACAATGGCTGAAGCCAGACTTTTATTCTTCCGCTTTTGGGATTTTCTATGTGCAGATTTAACATCTTGAGTCAAGATAAATAATAAATAACTATTTTTTT